ACAAATTAACTAACAAGCAAAAAAATGTGATGAAAAATATGTACAGGCGACGAACAATATATCAAACGAATTTTTCCCATTAATTAYTTATGCGTATATTTTTATTTCTCAACTTAAAGTCATCTAACACGAAAACATTTTGGGATTCCATTCACTCCTTCACATAATGTTTTGAATAACGCCTTCCATTTCTTTATCTAAATAATCGGGTGAACACATAAACATGACACAAACCAATATACCCTAAGGCTGCGTTGATAATGTATGTTAGAGGGGGGCAGCTGAAATTGAGGGGGGATCGGGAAAATTTTGGTAGGAAAAAGGGGGGATGCACAATTATTGGAAGAAGCTACAAGCCTTGCTTTGGGGGGATCGTATTTTTTTTTGCGTGACTTTAAGGGGGGTGTTAAGAATTATTCTGGACATTTCAAATTTTCACCTGCTCCCCCCCCCTCCCTCTGCCATACATTATGAACGCAGCCTAATTAGATTGGTGGGTTAGCCATGCTTTGAATGGAATCAATCCAGACGTTGTTTCACTGGCTGGATGAAAATTGACATTCGATGCTCCACCTAAGGTTCGTTGGGAAAAAAACTTTTATGAGCTAAGTCTAAGTCTAAGTCCTTTAAATAAACTGTTATTTGTTTGAAACATTTCTTTAGATATCCATAGAAAGTTTAACAATGGATGCTGGCAGGCCAGGAATAGTTGCTTTAGATAATCTTATATTTTCTGAGCAATATGGTAAGTTTTTGTCAKAAACTCATTAGGGGAGTTGAAACGTGTAAGAGTCATAAATTTCTTTAGTTGRATGCTTCGGAATATGCAGCGTTTTTTCTTGGCTTTTCTTTTTTCTCTTTCCTTGCAGTAAATCACGTCCTCTTGCTTTAGAAATTATCAAAACTAATTTAAAGACAGTGTCATTCTCTAGAGTATCATTTCTTTGTTTAACGGTTACACTTGACACTTGAATATGGATACAACTCAAACAGATTCTTATTATCAAGAGAATGACACGTGTTCTAAAATGGACAAACATTACGCCTAAGGTAAAGAGGTCTATAAGTCGTAGAAACGTAGGCATATCTGAAGCATAGCATCATCACTCACAAATAACACTTTTCATCAGCAGGGAYCAAAACTCATTAACACTGAACATCACGTCTGCCATCTTGCTTAGAAAGGCAGGAGCGAAATATTTCCATGGTATTAATTTTTTGGGTCGCGCATGGTCATATTCCTTTTATGCCTGTGTTTATGTCAATTATAAAAACTAGGCAATATTTCTAAAAAAAATCTTGTGTCCAGTTTAATAGGGATACCGAGTCGAGAGCTAGCACCTCCTAAACATTGATATTTATTATTTCAGTTATTTCCCTTAATTCCCTTTYGYTTCAGARAYCAAATGTCCTCCATTACAGGCTCCTGTCGATGGCTTTATGAATTGTACATTGGGTAATCAAGTAAATAGCACATGTCAATTCAAATGTAAAGACGTTCGTCACGTAATTGGATCATCCARTCGAAGATGTCTTCCAACAGGAATGTGGTCTGAGCTTAACGTGCTCTGTGATGGCAAGTGCATTTTTATCGGCGACGAGGTTGCTTTAGTTTAAAAGAGTACCTTATTATTTTTTTCTTTTTCTTTTTTAACTATTGTCACAAAGGACCAAGAATGCGCTTAAGGAATTTCAAGATAAATAAATCACCACAAGAAGGAGAAGTTCAGATGCTGGTCAATGGTTATTGGGCATCGGTCTGTAGAGGCTCATCAGAAGACAATCATATTTCCAGTGTGCTTTGTCGATCACTTGCTATGGGAAGCAAGGGGATTTCTATCGAGAAATTCCCAAATAAGAAGCTGAACACTGCTTGGGTGGTCATCAACAGATGCAGTGGTAGTGAGCASAACATTCTTGATTGTGAGAGATCAGACATAGGAAGACATACCTGTGCAAGCAGTCAAGTGCTCAACTTAATTTGTGGGAATGCGTCATGTAAGTGAAACCCTGTGGATCTGTTAATGAAATTATTATTACGACATTGTTTGCATACAAGAGCATACAATCTCACCAACGTGTGCGATTGCTTCTTGATAAAAACCACCGTAAAAACGTTTTGTTATCGCTATCTTAATTATTTTTAATTTCGTTATCTTTATAATTATCAATTATCCTCATCGTCATCATCATCATCATCATTATCATCATCGTCATCGTCATTATCATCATAAACATCATCATCACCATCATTATTTATTATTATCATCATCATCATCATCATTACTGTCATTATTATTAATATCATTATCATCATCATTATTAATATTATTATTAATACCATTATTGTAAGCAAGTCATTTGTATAGGTTTTCTTAAGCTCTCAGCCATTTCTCTATTTCAAGATATCGACAATTGTTCATACGTCTAGGTCCTGCCAACTGCAGCTGCACTTCCAAGGACTTCTCCCATAAAGTAGAATGTGGACCTCCAGCAACTGTTCGCCTGCTGCAAGACCTTCCCTATTATACTACAGAATTGTAAGTTATTCTTCAAAAATACGTGCGTGTATTACTCAAGATAGCTTACCCTTTGATTAAGACAACAGCTCTCAGGACTCAAACTATCGACAAAAAAATAACATCATGTTAGCCATTGACAGACAGACAGACAGACAGGACTCAAACTATCGACAAAAAAATAACATCATGTTAGCCATTTATATAAATATCGTAATTACCTCCTTTCATACCAAATCACTTCGCCGTATTTTCCAGGTAGTACATCAGTGTAGAGGATTACTTGTTGGTTCGTTTTGGAATCACTGTGCAAAAAAGTGAAGTCACTGTTCAAAAAAAATCTATATTATTTTTAAATAAATAAATAAAATGAAAAAATCCAAACTGCACTCGAACCCATTCTATCAGTTCCTATACAAACAATCTGGCTGTAGCCTGTATATCAGTTGTTGTTGTTGTTGTTGTTTTATTTTATCTATTTCGGAGGGGACAAACAAAATGGCTTCGCAGCCTCCTTAATTCGCAACAAAATGCAGCGTCCTTAATTAGCGAAATGCACCATCCCTTTCTTCGTAAAATCCTGACAACGGCACTTGATTGTACGACCATCTTACTTCCGAAAGTTTCATATTGATCTCTCATATTGCCATTCCCTTGAATATTCTTCATRCTTTGTCATTATAGGATTTTACGAAACATTGATTTGAGCAACATTAACAGTTATTCCTTTGACCATCTTCCCTTATTGACCTCCTTGTAAGTACGACCAAAAACGCTTTATATTATTATTCAACTATAGATAGTTTCTTTTTTTTTTTGCATAAAATAAGTGACAGGGTGGATTCATGAAGGGGCTGGAAGGGGGAGGGGGTTGTGTAAAAATTCGGGGCAAGACAAATCTCACCCTTGACTATTCATAACAAAACTGGAGGAAGTCTGAGGGAATGTTCCCCAGGAAAATATCTAATTATGGTTTACACAAATGCTATTTTCTGCATTCTGGACGTTTTTTGGACCAAAAAGGTTTAATATATGTGTATAACAAACCCGGATCTCAAAGTAAAAGGGGCTGGAGGGACGCTTCATCCACTGATAAGTCTTACGTCAAGTAGTCTTGTAGATAAGGGTTTTGGTTAGTCAGTAACTAAATAGACTTATATATGATCTTCAGATCACTTACTAATACAAATATAAAGAAAATCGAGGCATTTGTGTTAAAGGAGCAAATAACACTTAAGGATATGTAAGTATTGGAGTCATTAAGGTTAGAAAAAAATTCCATTGTACGTTTTCCCCCCTCCTCGGTGATCTAATATGACAGAGTTGATGTTCGAGGGCGTAAATTTCTTTTCCGACCGAGCAAGGGTCATCAGTTTTAGCCCAAGGCTCTGTTGTTTTAATGGTAGTTTTTGGTGATTAACTCTACTGAAGTAAGTAAATATCAAAAACAAAATAGAGCTACATGAAAGGAAAAATARGTTGTAACATCATAAATACGTTACAACGTCCATAGATACTTKAATTAATGTTTGTTTTTACTTGTTTAGAATCATTCAGAAAAACAAAGTAAGTAATCTTGCTGATATTCGTCTGGACGAMTTGAAGCTCATTAAACTAGGGGATTTAAACTAAGTATCTGCGCAGATATGGTTGATATATCACAGGGCGTAATGTTTCGTCATTAATTAAGACCACGCGCCCAAGATGAAAAAGTATATTGAGATCATTTGGGAACCACTACGAATATATGTATTTGCCAATCTCGTAGTTTTGGCTAAAATTCATCTTCGGAAAATAGTAACGAAGAAAGTAACCAYCTACTATCTATTCATGACAGCATCTTCTTGAACAACATTCCTTCAGCTCTGAAT